GTGTATAAGAGACAGGGATATGTTTAAAACTTTAAACTGAAAGAACAAAATGACTGCTTTTGGTTTTTTGTCTTTGGGGGGTTTTTTAATTCACTTAAGAGGAGTGAAAAAACATTCACTCATTTTTCTAAACACTGACAGAGATACTTTGGAACCAATGCTTTAATCTTCATATGAGTGTGTGTGTGGGGGGGTGTGTGTGTGTTCCACTTGGTTTTTTTTCCTCAACATTGCCAGACTTCAGCGTTTCCCCCCACTCGACACACAGACACCATGAAAAGATCCCGCACAAAGCCCACGGAACATGCAGGGCCCTCCAGGTTCCCCTGCACATCCCCAAAACATTTACTCTGTAGTTCAAGCGGCAATTCCGCTTCGTCCCGTTTTGCGGGAGGCCCCCGGCTCCCTGCCGAGCTCCGCAGCTGAGCGGCAGAGGGCGCTCCCGCCCCACCGCTAGCCCTGCCGCCCGGGGCCTCTCTCCCTACTCCTGCGGAGCTAAAGCCATTTAAGGAGCCGGGCTGCAGGCTCGCTATGGGAAATACGTTAGTGCTGGCAACTGGGGAGAAAATTCATTGCTTTTTCAGCCACAGCAATAAAGCGCGTTCCAGGTCCACCTGCCTCATACCTGTAACATCAAACAATTCCACTTGTTACCTCACTCCTGCCAGCCTACAAGGCCACACTGCGCCCCTTTAAAGACCCCTCCCGCAGGCCCCTTGCTGCGGCAGAGGCATACCTGCATGCTGGGCTGCGTGTGCGCAGCGAGGAAGGGCTGTCCGGGGGCTTGCAGGAACTGCTGCCTTGGAGGGATGAACGGCCGTGGATTTGCTGAGCCCGGCTGGTTGAAGTGGAGAATCCCCACAGGACCTTGAGGCTGCATGTTTGGCCGTACTGGCCGCTCGCGGGGGAACACAGGTTGCTGTCCCTGCTGATTGAACACCGGCCCAGGCTGGGTGAACGGCATTGGGTTTTGGGTGGGGACAGGATGCGCACTGTTAAGAAGCGGAGGAGGTGGTGGTGGTGGGGGGCTTCGCTGCTCAAACAAGTGATGACTTGGAAACCTTGGATCTGTAGGAAGAAAGTAAGCGATCAAATGACAACCTCCCTGGGACACAAGCACAGGTTCAAAACAAAGCTCTACTCTGATTTGGAAAAGTAACCCTAAGTTTGTAGAAAGCAAAATTGCTGTGCATGTTTTAATTTTAAGAGCTACAATCTTTGTCTTCCTTCTGCCACTTGTGTATAAGGGAACTGATACTTGAAAGACCAGCACAACTGGAACTCTGCTGGAGTTCGCAACTTAGAAATTTTACTTTAACGGAATCAATGAAAGATTCCAGGGATTATAGTTTAAATCACACAAAAACTCCTAAAATGTTGATACCATTTGCTGACCAGGTATTTGGCAATTTTGTACATATTTTGTCTGCGTAATCTTTTCACAACATATACATTATATATATGCACATTACATATCTGTGGCATATAAACATATCTCTGAATGTATACACACACACTTCCTATCTCCTTTGTTTACTATGCTCTATCATTTTAGCTAACCTTAACAGATTTCTCACAGTACTCAAATAGTCCAGGCAGTTTAAAGAGTTATGAGCAGAAACCAAAGTGTATTAAGAGTACTACCTAGCTAAAATGTAATAAATTACAACAACTTTACTGCAACAACCACTTAGATATTAATCTTATTTTGTATCTGTATAAATATCCAGATTGATGGGAGTTAGATGGAGACATACAATTACATCAAAAAACATAAAAAGATACCAGAGCACTGACATTTTTAGCATGTATTAGACTGGCTACATCAAACAGTATCTTTCAGCTTTCAGGTTCTTCTAAATACTTCATGTTACACAATAGACACTGTCCTGGTTTTGGCTGGGACAGTTAACTTTCTTCCTAGTAGCTGTGTTTGGGATTTAGTGTGAGAATACAGCCACAACTTTAACACTGGTGTGTTAAGTAGTGTTTATCCTAAATTAACAATTCTTCCATTTCCCATGCTCTGCCAGCAAGCAGGTACACATGAAGCTGGGAGGGAGCAGGGCAAGGACAGCTGACCTGAACTAGCCAAAAGGATATTCCATACCATAGAACATCACGATCCATATATAAATCAGACTGGGCAGGAGGAAGGAGAGTTGGCTGGGACGGGCAAACCACTGCTCCGGCATCAGTCAGTGTGGTAAGAAATTGCAGTGTGCACCACTTGTCTTTTCTTGGGTTTTATTTCTCTCTTTTTTTGCTATTTTCATTACTATTGTTCTTTTATTTTAGTTATTAAACTGTTCTTATCTCAACCTACAAGTTTTACTTTTTTTCCTCCCAGATTCTTCTCCCCATCCCACTGCAGGGGAGGAGGAAGGAGGAGGAGTGAGAGAGCTTAGTTGTCAGCTGGGGCTAAACCACAACACACACTTACACTATAGAGCCACTGTACAAAAAGTGGATTTTGTATGTTAATAAAAATGAAAATGCTCACCTGCTATGAAGAAAGGATCTCTTTCCTGAGGAGGTGGAGGAGGAAGTGGTGGTGGTGGTGGTGGTGGCCCTCTCCACTGGTCCTGGATTGGCAGCCTCGGAGCTTGAGTGAAGTTGGTAGGAACCGGTCCAGGCGTATGCTGCTGAAAGTCTGGAGGGCCCTATTAATAAAGCAGAACTAAGATTAAAACTACCATCCATTAATTTATCTATTGCCTGCTATAACTTTCTCTTAAAAATACAATTGTTTTATGAGTTACCTCCTATCATCTGTACAAATTGGCAGCTCTTAATGAGTCATTCTTTCACAATGGAAGAGATATTAAACCGCATACAGTATCTTGAAATGAATTCACAACGTTTTAATAATCACTATCACCACAGGAATGCCATTTCTTCTCAAGCTTATTGAAATCCATGCAATTATTGACCTTCTTTCCCATTAATCCAAAAAAATCTGAATGTCTACTTTAGAAGACATTCCTGACATTTATCTTCTTAAACTGTGCTATTCTTCACCATCAATTTAGTATAATGTAAGCTACAGAAGTGAAGCAGATTTATTTTAAAAAAGGGGGTGGAGGGGAAGGACAATTTATGGCATCCATAAAATTAAATAAATCGTCTTTCAAAAATTAACGAGAGTAACACTTCTGCCTATTCACAACTTAGAATCTGAAACATTAGAATGAAGAATGCAAAACTGACTTTCCTCCAGTATTTTTTTTTTTTTAAATGTAAAGTGAGCCTTTACATATTGAGAAAAGCTGGACGTCAGTCCAAAAGTAGACCTTTGCAGAACATACACTTAATCAAGTCACACTACCATTTTTTTCTTTTGTATCAAAAGTTGACAAAATAATATATTGGCAACCTTTTGATATAAACAGAAGCAGCTTTGCTTCACATGTCATTACATTTACAAGCATTTCTTTATTATGTGTAAATCAAAGAAAAAATCTCTGAACATCTTTGTTTTCGTTATATGGATTCTTAAATCAGTGATGGCATCTGTTCTGTCTACATACACTCACCTTAAAGCTTCAAATCTGCCAATGCTGAAGACAAGTTTTTCAAAATAGATTTCAGACCAAACACTCCCTGCTAGACTGAAATATGGCCATCAGCAAAGAACCAAACAACTAAGTTGCAGCAACGTATCATTTGTCTATTGAGCTGCCTTCATCATGCAGTATGTGCAGTCTCACTATCCTATCTGTACAGTGAAAATACTAGCATTTTAGACAAATAATTTCTCACGCAGCAAATATGGGTATTTGCTCTGGAAACTGATGTCTACTCACTACTGAAGTAGCACATGACAAAGCTGCTTCACAGCCTTCTACCAACAAAATACAACTGGGATTGGCAAGGCCCAAACAAGTAGATGAGAAGCACTGAGGATCACAGCCATTATTAAATCTGTGGCCTTCTTTATAACACCTAAACAGGGATATGTGAGATACTAAGACTTCTTATTTTATGTCATTTTATACAGCCATCAACTGTAAATACTTTATCATTCCTAGAGATTACAGGGTCTATCCCCTTGCCAGTGCTTCTACTCAGCCAGTCTCCTGTGGGCATTTCATTTAGCGGAAAGACACTATATTAAACTCAAGCATGACAGTCCTCACAGCATACATACTGTTTGCACGAGGAGCTGCCACACTTCTGCAAGTGAACAATTACCAACACAAAATATTCTTGCCACCTCAGAAGAGCCTAGCATATTTGAATTTCACAAGCTGCCTGCAAATAACAGCAGCTGGAGGAAGAGGGAGCTATTTGGGATGAAGAAAGTGACATTTATTTGTCCCATCAAAATCCATTCAGGTTTAGCTGAACAAGACTGCTTCAACTGCACTGCCCTTCCCTCATGTTGAGCAGGACAGCACTGGCTGCCTGCCAAAAGAGCAACTGAACACAAACCTTGAGGATCCTGACCCTTTGCTTCAAAAACACACCTCTACCATCACTGCACGTAGGAGCTGCCAGATGTACTTTCAAACTAAGGTTAAATGTATTCCCTCATCTTGGAAGCCTTGGTGATAAAAGCCTATTTCTCAAAGCATTGTTCTTACAGCCATCCTAGCGAATACACACTGCTCCCAAATACACTGCTCCTGCAAGCTGCACAGCCCCGAGGGAGGCACCCAGCAAACCAACTGCTATTTAGGTATTTAGTTGTTAGTTTATCGCTGCATAATGCATAAGGTCATTGCAACAGAAGCAGGGGAGAAACTCCATCAGGGCAGTTTCACACAAGATGGTTTTTATCTTGCATCTTATTTACTGCACATAGTCTCATAAACATATTGCACCTTGGGAGAGAAAGCAGTCTTGACAACCTGATTTTTCCTATTTTCTGAGAGCTTGGCTTGGAAGCTCTGAAATTCTCCTTGTGTTTTTCTCTAGGCACAGTGTATGTCTACATATATCTTAGGTATTTCTGAAATAGTCAGTGGAAAACAAATTATATGGAAACTTACTGAAACCTGGGCTAATAAAGTGTAAGCATCACACACATATTTGCCACCCAAGCTGAAAAACTGGCAGCAGTAATGATCTGGCTGGTCTTGTTTCCCAGTACCAAATGGCACTGCAGTGACCAGTCTCCTCTACCTGCTTCTTCCAAACTTGACATTTTCTGCCCTGTCAAGGTAACAGATCCTTATCAGTCTCTCCCCTCACTCCCAAACTTCAGTTCTAGGGCTAGGCTACAAAATACAGGCTTAGACTACAAAATAAGCAGGCAGATCTACACTTCTATGGCTGAATTTGTAACCCAGTCTCAAGCATCTTCCACAATATTATTTATCTGTCCAATTAGCCTTACCGTTCTCCTGGTCCTTCAGATACATTCTTTCATCCCCATCACATCCTTCACTCTGCCCACTGGTTCCTAATCCTGGCATGGATCCAGCTTCCCAGCTCCTTGATTACAAACTGTGGTCTTGTCTTGTGGCAGATGGTCAGGAGCTCCTATTTACCCCACCCAGACCCTACCTTTTTAGTCTGTACACTTACTCCAGGCAATTTCTGCCCTTTTTCCTGCCAAGGAAGAAGTAAATGAGAGCACAAGATGCTGTACTTGTATTTTAAATAAACACTTCTTCGTACCAGCTTCCCCTCTCCTGCCAACCTGTACCCTCATTATTATGCAGAGATCCACCTGATCCCAAAGCACCTATGAATTGCAAATGCATGGAAAGTCCTGTTGAACTTTGCACAGCTTTTATGTACCAAAACATACTCAGTGAAGCCAAACTCAGTTTGTTTCTTGAAATATTTAGCAAAAATAAAACATGTCTAAGTCAGTCACTTGGGCATAACGTTTTTCCACTTTTTCAATCTTGGAATTAAAGTATTTGAAAAATTTCAACCAAAACATTTCAAAATGAGGCATGCAGCCAGTACATACATCATCTTGGTTCAGACCACAAAAGTCTGTTAGTACTACACACACTGAGAGTAGCTCTTTCCCATCATAAGGAAGCTTTAAACCCTTATGAAATAAGCTTTAGTTAAGTTTTAGAACTCAGTAACACAAGGTTATTTTAGACTTTTAAAAGTTCACACTTAAAAATTGAGATTATAGTTTATTTACTAAAAATCACAGAAACCAATAACCTGCAAGACATTTTACTGTTAAAAATAAAAGCAATATTGATTTCAGGCTCCATTCAATACCAAAAGTGTCCATCTGTCTTAATTTAAGAATCAAATGTTTACTGTCCTCTAAACATTTTAATTGATTTTAAGAGAAACTAAGAGTTATCCAGCTGTTATTAAAAAGTTAGTATCCAAAAATCCCAACAAATGCCCACCAAGATACATGGAGAAATTTTTTTTTTTGCTCTAGTTTCATTTCATAGAATTGTATCCCACAACACAAGTTTGAGTCAAAATAGCTCCAAGACAGTCGAACAAAACCAGAGCAAGGAGGAAATATTTGAAGTTTGGAACTCTTTCTGTTGATCTCTCTTTTCCATCCCTCACAGTTAAGAATACTGAGGGTTTTTTCCCCACTTCTTAAGTAAGATTCCAGTTAAACTTTGAGGCCAAGAAGATTAAGATAGCAAGTATTTTTCCAATCCTAAAGCCAACCCTCCTTCTCCACTTAGCATTTGAAGTTACATGAAGATGCTTTTTATATCCTACAACAAACATGTTTCCTCATTGTCACGATTCATTAGTGCCAAAACAATGACCCTTCCCTGCCATAGCACTTACTCCACACATAATGGAAGAGATGGCTGGATGTTTTGAAACCTTAAAAGTTTCAAAAATGGCAAAAGTACAGAATTACAGCTGATATAAATCACACCACAGTAAAGCTGCATGCTATACAGACAACTGAGTATCACTAAGAAATACCTACTTACTTGATCACTGAATAGGTTTTAACTTTATGTATATAACATTTTGAAGAACTACTAAAATATGACCAATCACATATCTTGGCAGATAGTCAAAGGCCAATCATGCAAAATTAATTGCAAAGACACCTGTTATTTGCCAAAAAGCGAATTACCAATATTTGCTTCTAAAAAAAATTCTATATATTATTTTGATTCTTTTCCTTCCAGCATCTGTCAAGAGACTGACCTCTACTTTTTTCCTTTATCAGCTTTGCTTCTACTATCCCTAAAGAGTGATATAAAGTTCTGCCCTAATTAGAGTAAAATGAGTAATGGAATGCTTGTATTTTCAGATTTTTACATTGCTGAGATTTTTCTTCTGAAAAAAGCTTTCAGGACTATTGCAACAGGAATTTAATTGTGTGATGGATCAATTTCACACACTACATGTGAAACAAACTCTATGGTTCAACTAGAGGTACTACTTCCAGACACAAATGAACTTTACTTTCAAGAAAATATGTAAACTATGGTGGATATTTTTCCAAGTTATGAAGTGCCTGTCTATTATTCTGAAATAGATAAATTCCCCCCTTTTAATAGGAATACACTAATAGTACAACTTCAACTTTTACTAATGCCAAATTCTAATAATCCTAAAAATAGTACAATTAATGTAACAGTTCTCAGTTACTCTAGAAGTTTTTGAGGGTGGGGTTTTTTTTTTGCCTAACAGTAGTTGAACTATAATTCTAGGAGTGAATTATTTCTTCTCCATTAGTATTAAACTCTACATT